CTTTGCTGTCTGAGTCTGATCGTTGTTATTACTACACAGGGTGATACACCCCATTGTTTTCCTTTAGTTATGACTGTATTCCAATTTTAAATTTTTGAACTTTTAATAATTGACCTCTAATATTTGTTATGCAATTAAAAGAGTGTTATGTGAGGATGATACCATCTTATTTTCTTGAATTTGCGCTATCGTTTTTGGTGTAAATAAATAAGCAGTTTGATTTCAAATTTTCAGCACAATATTTTCACTAATATATTATCTAATCTTACCTATATTATGACAACGATATACAGTCGTGGCTGCACGTTCTTTGATATTTTTTCMGAAATCAAATATCATATAATAAATAAACTTTTTGTAATTTTTTTTTGTATCATAATATATAGCTTAAATTTCGATACCTCGTTGGGTTTGGTTAAATTTATACATATATTTTAATCAAGATGCGTATTTATTTTTATACGAATGCTGGTGGCAAAGTACTTTATATTTATTTAAATAATAATAATAATAATAATAATAATAATTTAATATAAACGAACCACGTATTGCGTTTTTCTCTACCATCGCGTACGCTCCTGCCCTCTCCTCTATATGTATACAACTGCGCTCTCTCCTATCCTCCCCCTCATTGCCTAACACGCTAACCCTTATACCTCCACGTCTGTAAACTTTTTAACACGGTTCGTTTAAGTCGACGGCGGCACCACTCAATCAAGACCACTTTTATTCGCGTGCGCTTCGTCGCGGTAACGAGCCCGCTTGTCGAGCGAGATTTCCATTCTCTCACCCATTCTCTCTCTTTCTATCCTTACACTCTCTTTACCCGTCCAACTCTTCTCATCCCAGTCACCAGTGCCGTGTCAATCGGTTTTCGCTTGAACCGACTACACAATAAATATATATATATATATGCATCACCCATACATATCTAAAATATAATATATATGCGATTCACAGTGCTTAGAGGTCGCCGACACAGGTCGTGCAGAGTGTGTGACGTGTTAAAACGAAAATCGTGTACGCAATTGTCGAGAAAAAAGTGGAATATCCGACGACGAATATCCACCTCGATAATGTATGTAGTTCGTGTTTTTTTTCAAACCGTATAGTTGAACACATGATGTGTTTTATTGTGGATATCCAGAGTTGAGTGTGGCAATCTCGAATGATCCTCTTGTTCAAAGATGTAGGTATTTAAGCGCAGGTTGGATGGGTGATTTTTGTACAAATTATTGATGACTTATATATTAGATGAAATATTTACTTATATCATCAGAACAGCTTGCAGAAATCTCATTTGCTACTTAAATCTGCTTGATTCGATTATTTTTATTATTGTAAATTATTAGTACAGAAATATATTGTATTATACTCAACGTTGGGTGTTAACTTTAATATTAATTTTTGGAAATAAATAACCCTAAAAAGCGTTATAATTAATTGTATTGTAATTGTTTATAGATCTCGTTTTATTATATGATTGTGTAAGTAATTGTGTTTCGTGTACAAAGAAAAAACAAAATATTAATGTGTGATTAAAAAAATTGTATTTAGTGTACCGGGGGGGGGGAGTTGAGACATCAAAAATCTGTTTACTTCTATACCTAGCGCGCAGGGTGATATCTTATCGCGTAAACTTATTTTAACATAAGAATTTAATAAATTATCTGGTTAGTTATTGATTTTCAGTTGACTATGTTCGTAGTATGCTGCGTATGCATATACAAAGACACAACTGAAAATTAATCTATTTTAATATCTATCAATGTAATAATACATTAGAAATTGCACGCCTGATAAGATTTTATTATTTTGACAGATAGTGATTATACCTATAGGGCTATAGACTATACATATTTCATCATCGTGAGACTCGTGTGAAAACCTCTTTGTTTGAAATTTACATTTCCAATTAAATTACAGTGGGTCACTCATAATATATGATACGATTGCACGAAACTGTACATAATTTTGTATAATAATAATAATATATCACCCGACATTACGTTTCTGTATTATAATATTAGATTAATATTATGTTAGCCGKCGTCATGGATATGCAATCTAGGGACATCACTGTCGCTGATAACTGGCCCTATCATTTTGAAACACTAATATTTTGAATAATTATTGTAATGTAATACTTAACTAATATCCATAATATCGTAGTCATGTGTTGAGTGATACATTATATTGATACCGTTTCTTGTTTAGGTTAGGTGATATATTATAGTCCAGTCTTACATTTTGTTTTATTTTTATTAAAACCCATCAATAATATACGAGTATTGTACTCTTAAAGTTAATTATCTGTCGCTCAACAGTCGTTCGTAAAGATTTCTTGACGAAAAACAATGACATACACGTGTAAACGAAACGAACGCGGTTTTGAACATCTACAAATAACTTTTCGTTTAGACTTTAGACCGTTCAGCGGCCTCGCCGTCGTGTGTTAAACCTTGGCTTTTGCTTGTGACAAACGAGTGGGCGGCAATAGTGGCATTTTAATTTCGTAACAAAAAACGCACGCAAGCGCGCTCACACACACACACACACACACCATCTGTGCAGATGTGATGTTCTTCGTCGTTTAACCTCTCAACGATATTTTAAAGTTTCGCATTTGTCTCGGATGTTGGCTCGACGAAATTGGTTTTCCCCCGACACACGATCGTTTGTTCGGCGTTAGGTATGCGTGTGTGATGGTTGGGAGGGATTTGTGTAGTATTTTTATCGTTTGACACGACACCACGCGTGCGGAAACATACGAACGAATAACACCATTGAAAATCTCGTTAGAAACATAACGAAATTTTATGTAGTAAGGCTTCGGATATTAAATCGCTAAACGCGGAGACAACAGGTGGACACTGAGACTAATGATTTCGGTTGTAGTTACGTAAATAATATATCGTTATGATACTCGTCCCGGTAGACTGATTTGTAACGGCGCGTTTCGTGTCGATGGGCGATGTCCTAACTGATTACCCATCAAATATAAATATTGTTATCATTACTAAATAATGTATGTGACTCGGTATATGTGGTTAGTTCGGGTAAGGTTAGGTTCCGTCGTATACGGATATTTCGAATGAATCTCGCGGGATCTGGAGGCGATAATACTCATATCATAATGATGTCGAGCAGACGTTCAATAATAGCAATCGTTTATTTATTTCGGCCAAGGTTGATTTACAGTTGTTATTAGACTTGAAATATTTTAATGACATCGTCGTTGTTATACTGACGATGTTTCAGTATTCCGCGGACTGTGCAAACAAAATAATATTAATATCATAATATCAAACCGTGTAACACCCGGCCTCACCACCTCTCCCTCGAAAACAACCTGCTTTCGGAGCCACCGCCACAGGTTGCAAGTGAATCAACACGCGAATTCGTCACGTCCGTAAGTCCGTTTGGCTGCATTGGCGGAAACAGTGGTAGTGCTGGTGGGGGCGGCGGTGGTGGCGGCGGAAGAAGCTGAGGTGAATTCGGTGCCATTCCCTCGTTCGGCTGCATATTATAATTGTGTAGACAGTGAGTCCAAATAACCGACCAGAGATAGTAAAATAAAATATTTTTCGCCAAAAGCACTTATACGCGCTTCGTTGAGACTTAACTTTTTTTTCCGTGACAAAGCAATTGTGATTTAAAAAAAAAATGCGTTATACACTTTCCGAACGAGAGCAAATTTGTTAAAATTTCGTTTTATCATTCTATTAAAAAAAAAAACAACAAAAATAACAGAAAGAAATAAACTTATTTTATTCTTGGTGTGTTTGTCTTATTCGAAAAGTTAGAGGTCTTTCGCGTTAAAACTTTAACCAAACCGTCTTTATAGACTTTTCTATCAGAGACTTGCTCAGAAGCTTTAAGAAATCTTGGCTCTTAATGAGGAACACAAACGAGTTCAAAGATGAACGTTGTCTCGAAACATTATACGTCTCTCTTGTTAAGACAACATTCGAGTATTGTTCCATTCCATGGAACTAACTCTTCTCAAATAAGTCTTATTGAATCGATCAAGCTCGTTCAAAGGTGGTTTATACGATATATTGGAAATAATTAATGACAGCGAATATCACTTATTTGATAACATCGCCAAAAAAAAAATATTCAACACGGTCCAAGTTTGAAATCTTTTGCTTTTAGGCTTAAACCTACAGAGATTTTTGTTTTGTGTCCAAAGTTTTTAATGGAATTACATTCTCATCCTGAGTAACTGCAATCAGCACGTTTTAAATGTCCTTCAATGCCCGTCTAGTTCTTCTCCTACATTCTAAATGTAAATTCACCGCACTTCATACGATTATAAAAACCTCACAGATCGTATATTCCCGATAACGTAACAAATTAAACATTATTGATCTATTCCATACGAAACGTCTATTATGTCAAGAGTGGTAATTTTTCATATTTGTTGCATAATGTTTTTGTACCTATGAAAAAAAAAAAAAAAATATGTTCCTTGGGGGTTTTTATTTCAATTATAATTACCACACAATCAGACGCAAGAAAACAATCGTCTTGGCGTTAGGTATAAAAAAAGTCAATTTTCAGCCAATGGCCTTCGCTGCCGAGGTGTTTGTTTTTAAGAAGAAAAAAAATACTTAAATAACAATTACATATTATTATGTAAATACTATAAATATGTCATTCGAGGTAAAGTCGGAATGTCTTTTGCCGCAGTGTTTGGCACAACAAATTCGCCTATGGACATGCGACGGTGTATTTTCGTGATGATTATTACAACGAGTTATTTATTCATTTAAACGCGCCAGTAAAGATGCCTACGAAACATACCCCTGTGTTTAGGGGATGAGGTGGAGCAGGTCGTGACTATAATGGCATATATGCGTTTATAAACGCGCTCTTATCAGTTACAGTTACTAACGGGTGCGCATGCCGTGTGCACATTTTAATTTACATATTTGTTTCATATCCGAGTACGATTATGTGTATGATAGTCATTATTTTCATATTTTCATTCGCAGATTACTTGAAGTATTGTTACGAGCTGGAACAAAAACAAAACTTGTTTAGGGAGCGAAGCAAAGAAGAAACGGAAGCCGCTCACGACTTGCTCGAACTCTCCAGGTAAGAGTCTATATTATTATGATAATAATATAATATTGATAAATATATAACTATAGAAAATCGAACATTTTTTAAAAGATCAGGGAAATAGCTTTGAGTATAAAGTATAAAAATTAAAATTAAAAATACTGTAATATCGGACTTTGTCAATTATTAGGTTATATCTTCTAAAATCGTTGATTTTAAATTAATAATAACTAAATATAAAATAAAACATAGAAATCTAACTAATTGATAATCAATAACATAAAAAATTAACAACTTTTTTCGACTATTAACATTAAAAATTGTTAGTGCAAAAATAAATCTGATATTGAACATTAGTTTATTAATTATTTATTGGATTGCATATTTTAATATAATATGATAATATTATTTATTTTTATTATTACCAATAATATTCTTAACATTGTTAACCTTAATCCCATAAATTATTAATTATATCGTACTATTATAAATTTAATACACAACGGTATGATATTGATTTCGTTATAAACCTTGTACCACACATCATATGAAAAATACAACATAATAATACCTTGGATTAGAATTTTTTAGGACTTTGGATTCAAATATGATCATGAGTGGTATGGGTGTTTGTCAATGTAGTAAATCATAATAACATGTCAAAATACAATAATACTATATTTCCTGCACAAAACACGCCATCTATTTGCGTGTATTAAAACGACGGGGTAGATTATTCCACCAATCATTTTTTGTGTTTTTTTTTCCACTGACTTTATTCTTCTGAGAAACATAATACAAGCAATATAGGTATACCTATAATAGGCATAAAATGAAATTAGATCATTAGATGAATCTTAATTATTATAATTGTAGTTATCAAATCGCATTATATTTGTTAAAAAAATTTGTTTTTTATTGAATAAAAATGTTTAGATACACCAACCACACAGACTGTCCGAACGATATTATTTTATTCAGACGTTTTTAAATCAATGGGTGATTATTGTTATAGTTAAACACGCTAAGGTTTTTGGTGTAGTGATGATGGTGATGGCGGTGATGCTTATTATTGTTACGTTTGATCGTAGGGCCATAATAATTTTCTAAGTAATAAAATCGAATAGAATATAATAAATAAATCTAAAAATAAAAACCTCCATTGAACTTACGCTGCAGAGACTGGTAACTTTGAAAATTAAAACAATCTTTTGAAATTATTAATATTGTACGAGCGAGAATATCGCTAGGCTTGACAAGGAGCTTGCTTGAAATCAAAATAGCTGAGTTAAAAAGTTTCGTTTCGGCACGATTTTCGCCATACCCACGAAAATTTGTGACAATAATATTATCCTCTCCACTCCAGCCGGTTTCATATTATTTCGTGCAAAACTTACTCTACACTGCCTTAACTTCTAAACTTTCACAAAGACAGATGTGTTTTTTTTTTATTGTTATAATCGTCCCGAAGCGATAATGAAATAAAAATAGTGTCTGTCGTTGAACGAAAACAAACCACAAAAGTATTGAAATAGGAGAACCCTAAAAAATGTAAAAATCCCACTACAATAAAAAACAATTTATTGCTCCCTTGTACGATATGTTCTTGAATATGCGTCAGTAGTTTGGAGTTGTCGATCGTTATCCTATCATATTCACAATCTTGATAATATACAATTTAAATTTTTTTAAATAATTGATTTAATGCATAACTTAGGTACTCATATCTAAAGATTCTATTATCCCAGTTTAAAATTACGTTCGTATATGACTTGAAAATTATAAATTGTAATATTATATTCAATGAGCATTTAGCTCAGTTTAATTTTCGTATTCCCTAGCTCCTACAGTTCGAGGAATCAAGATCTTTTTGTCTTCCCATCCTTCAAGTTCAAATCAACTTATGACTAATTTTTTTATAGAGCTCTGAAAAACTAGCTATTTTAGCTTAAGTCGATTATACCCAGCGTGATGATAGTGGCGTGATGCTAAGTAATTAAAAAAAAAAAAAATATTGTAATTTTAGTTAGTCCTCGTTAATTGGTGTCTTATTTTTTAAATATTTTTATATATTTGTATTTTTTATATTAGGTATTTAGTGTTGTATATTTATTCTATAAATTTGTTTTATTCAATAAATAATTGACATTTATACCAAATTCTATATTGTAAAAGAGCTAGCCCTGTTGATATATTTATAAATAAATAAATGAAAGAAAGAAAGAACATGCGTATAGACTGCATAGACTTAGGATCGTCTGCGTGGCGCTAGCAAACAATACACTAGTGGATTTTTTTCTCTTTTAGTCATTATAAGTTGAATTACTCGCCAAAGAATATCTGGTTCGAAAACAATTTCTTTAATAAATTATACGTGGTGTACAATGTGTACATCATGGTATAGAATATAACAGAAAAATGCAAATCATCGTAATTAACTATAGTTTTTAAAACTTTTGATCGTATTCTTAATATTTAATTTAATTATTACTATAACAGACAACAGTATTTTTAATAGTTAAAGCTTAAAACAATTGATTTCAATAACAATAGGTAATTATAACGGTTTTAAAAAAATTATACAATCGTTTTTTATTTCAGTTACATCTCGTATACCTATTACACATAATAATAATATGTGCATTTCAACCGTTTATTTACGATTTCCACACATTATAACAAATATAAAAACAGACGTTTAATCGACCGGTAAATAATAAAATTTAAAAATTATAATATAATAGTATGCTTGTTAATTCTTTGTATTTATATTATTACGATTACGAATAATTTTAAGCCAGCGAGCAGAAATATAAATAAAATCAGTTGGTAGGTATACGCAGACTCGCTTTCATAGTTATAATACTACATAATTTGTTTTATAAAATATTATAACAATATAAACGTTGTAATGCTTCATGCGAAAAAGCCGTCGGTGGTGCTTCTTGGAAAATCTTTGGAGAAATGTGCCATAATGAAAAGACTGGAATTTCGTTTTGAATAAACGAAAGGAATTTATTTTAGAAGATAAAGTTATATACCTAATGGTATCACGAGTACGATGTTAGAAATTTCCGAGAACTTGAAAACGGCAAAAAAAAAATATATATATATAATATTAAATTTAATCTGAAATATCGAATACGAAACTAAATGGTGCAGTAGGAAATTATAATGATATGATCGCTTGCGTAATTTTAACTATCTCTATTTTCCACGATAATCTCCATACAAGGTCGAGGGGGTTGGATGTAATTTTTCATTGAACCTGCAGCTGGCCGTCTACCAAAAATAAAAAAACAACGTTGCAGCTAATCTTCACTGCCATTGATTTATTTTTTTTTGCGATTGATAAGACTCTCGGAACTGATGAAACTCGTTTCTTTAAAAGACTACTCGACTTTGTTCGTATGTTATATTTTCTAAAAATCGAAAACGTGTGGGATTTTTCTCGGTTTTGTTTGCCTGTATCGGATAAATAGCCAACACGTGGATCTTAAAGTGATGCTGACGCGTTCAACTCAACTTTATCAGTTTACATATTATTTTGATTCCACTAAACCGTGACGATTTCTCGATGGCCTGTATTAATAACTAATTCCACACAAGTTATGCTCTATAGATCGAGTTTGAAAAGATTTATTCGAAAACCCCACCCACTTCCTACCCCTCCATACCATGAAATTCGATCAAATCCTCTTATGGGTCGGGGGAGGGGAGAATTTTGGAACATTTGTGAGAGTATCCACGTTTAAATTTACTATATTTCTTTTAATGTAATTTATTTAACATGCAGTACAAATGTATAAATATCTAAAACCATTTCTTTCTTTTTGTGGAATCTGTGGATTCCGTGGAGTGCGGGGAACTCATCCGTAAAGAACAAAAAATGTGTTCAAATCGCATGCTAACATTATAAACCACTATAAAATGCTCAAATGTGACACCTCATGATTTGAAATTCTTGAAAAATGTCGTTAATTGCAAAGATAATTCACTCCCGAAACGCGTCCGTCAATCCTCTCCGTAATCAATCCCCTCCGACCAAAGTACGTTTGTCCACACCACATAATACCGTAGACATCGTATCGCAATGATATCGATCAGAGTTGTTTTTTCTTACAGAACATGGACAATTATATTCTATCAGGATCTCTTCAATCCGTTATCGATTAAGACAGTGATTTTTATTGTACAATAGAATTTGAAACTCATCGCTCATCGTCTATCGTTTTTCAACCACCATGGTATAACTTTCTGATTTCGTCTAGATAACTGCGTTGAGCAAAATCTATTTACAATACGCAGTGACTGCTGAGCTCAAAGTGTAGTTGATCTACAATTATTATTATTGATTGTTTTTTAAACAATGTTTAACGTTTTTGCGAAACATTTCTGTATCCGAAACGTATGATGGTGAGATATCATGCAGGGTGATTCATGAGGCGTAAAACACTCATTATTTATAAAAACTATTTACTTTTTTCAAATTTTTTTTTCTTCAAAATTTTAGATCTATGCTGTTCTAAAACTATATAAATTTTTAGTATTTTTCACCCTTATATTAGGTAAACCACTATCAACTTTAGATTTTTAAATGGCAACCTATATTAACAATATCATAAATTAATAAGACTATTTTTTTTTATTGAATTTTTATTTTTCGTTAATCCGTTGACGAGATATAGTCTCCCAAAGTTGGATGGTTTTGGGGTGGTGTTTGTGTATAAATGTGTTATACCATGTCAGTACCGCAGCCGCAGCAATTGGGATTTTTGTACTCTGGCGTAAATCATAATACACTTTTCAAATAAATTCAGTAAGTAAGATACTTAGCTAAGCCTAAGTTGTGCCCCAAAATAGGTAAACATATTTAAATAGGACAAACACCACCCCAAAACCATCCAACTTTGGGAGACTATATCTCGTCAACGGATTAACGAAAAATTTAAATTTAAACGTGAAAATTTATTTAAAAAATAGCCTTATTAATTTATGATATTTTTAATATAGGTTGCCATTTAAAAATCAAAAGTGGTTTACCTGATAAATATAAGGGTGAAAAATATTAAAAATTTATATAGTTTTAGAACAGCATGTATCTAATATTTTGAAAAAAGTAAATAGCGAGTTTTTATAAATAATGAGTGTTTCACGCCTCACGAATCACCCTGTATACATATTACACATTATTAGAGATGCAATATTTCAAATTATGACATAATATTATTTCAGTCTTCGATCACTATACAATTTTGCCATCTTTTATATACATATACCTAGCTAAAAGACCGCATGCTACTTAAATGTCTTATTCCTCGTTAACGGTTACGGTCGTTTGTCTTTTCACGCAGATCGTTGCCGCCACTGCCTCCACCGAGCACGGTGACTGTCGCCGCGCCCACGCCTCCAGAGACACCCGTCGGCTCAGGGGTGGGTGACGGGTGTCCGGCGTCGCCGCAGTTTGTCTACGTGTCCACGGCGGTTGCGGGCGCACCGCTTACCCCGCCCGCTTCGGAGTACTCGTCGGACGCGGAGAATACGCCAGCGGACGCGAGCAGCAGCACCGCCAACGCGCAGGCCGTAGTGGTGGCCACGGCCACGGCCACCACCACCGTCTACAGCCTGATCGATTACGTCATCGAGAAGAGTGACGGCGGCTCGTACGATCCGTTGCTGACTAGAGACTTGAACGTCAAGACCGGCAAGACGACAACGACGACGACGACCGCGGAACACCGCCGGTCGACCTCCACCACCACAACTACCACAACCACCCAAGTCGTGGTCGGATGCAGTTCTGGAAACAAAGGTCAGTGTATAGTTTTATTTCTGAAATTAAAACTCATAATTATAGATTTAGGCATTGGGTGCAATCATATAGATGAATTTCATGACATTCTGCAGGGTTGTTTTCAACCCAAATCTCGTAACATCTTTGCTATAACTCTGTGAAAAATTAAAAACGTGAATTAACTATAGAACCCGAATAATTTTAATTTTGCAAAATTGAATATTAATTAATAAAATCAATTATTATTTTGATTAAATAGGTGTTAACTAATAAACGTAATAAAATATTCGAAAATATGGTCAACATTTTTAGGGAGTTTTAACTGTTTCGATGAAATCCAAAAAATGTCTTTGTTGTGTTATATTTACGGCACGTACCCTTATAAATAACGACTCTTTTATTTATTTTTTGATTCTGAATGTCTTAACCTATATAACTACAGTAGTTAAACTACTTGTATTCGCCTATATTAACCAGAAAAATAAATGTTATGAACACCCAAAAGTTCGTTTAAACTAAATATATCCGGCATTTGAATGTTCAAATTCATCAAGTGCCCAAAACTAAAAAATGATTTGGGTGGAAAGCCCTGACTTTACGATTATGTAAAATACTGTAATACGGCTATAATACACTATATGTAACATACAAGTGAACTATTTTAAGTGCTGAATACACAGCGTACAATGACGTTTTGTGAGCAAATTACTTTATACCTATATGTACATAGAAACCCCCTATTTCTATTCCATCATTGACTGATTGACTTCATAATTTAATCATACCTACACCCAAGTTATGTCAAAATATATAATATTATATTATAATACAACGTGAAAAGAAAATATTGAAATATTTTAAACACGATAACGATACGCAAACACACAAGACGCACTTACAATACACTACAACACCAATATAATTGAATATTATTGAATTTGTAATTTATTTTGTACCTACTTAAATCTTATTCCCAAAATGTATTTTTTGGATGTATACCTGGGCATCAGATTTTATTGAGCACGACCGGTAAAGATTATAAATCGTATCAACCTATCGTACTCGAGATTTTTTTCGGTACGCCTAGAGTTACGGTACCTAATATATTAACTTACATATTTTACTTAATGCATGTCATAATATTTGTTTTTCCGTAAAACTAAACAATAATACGAAGAACGCAATTCTTAATTCGGGCTTATAATAATATGTCCACAATAAGGTCAAAAAAAAAAAAAAAACGCTTTAGTTTTGTTCCGATGAGACGATCCAACTAAACCTCAACTATTAATTAATATTATTATATTATAATAACGATATCCACGTGAACATTTTTTGTGACTTACAATATTTTCGTATACAATACTTGTTGAATTTCAGCCCACTCATACGCATCACATTTGTATTGGCTGGGTGTTATTAACATCCACGTATAACATCGTAACAGTCGCAGTGTAATATCGTAGGCGTGTATGTGCATGCAGTTATTTCATTATTAATCAAAGCATTCAAAATTCGTCGGTGCCGTGCATGAATAATTTGCGTTCTTCGCCAGCAGCACCCGAGTGCGTATTATTATTATATTACCTATATACATATACATATATTCAGCACGTCATAATAATAAAATACGAATACGATAGCTCGTGTTATGTGCTCGCGATATAATTAATTGAACCACCCTTCGTCGCTTGCTATCCGCCGCTCGGTTCATGTATATTAAATTGACCTGTCTCGACAAAATTTCAATAATTTAGCACACCGGTGCGAGCTTCCGCTTATGGAGTTGTACTCGTATTATTATTATTATTATTATTATTATTGTATAATTAATCTTACGAATAGCGTCAACAAATAATTTTATGTATAATAAATAATATTACGAAAGAAAAATAACTCGTTCGTTGTCGCGTTTCGGTACCAGCTATATGACTTGCGTACATAATATTATAATGCAAATATTGTACTGTAAAGATAATATAAATTATAAGGTACTATACGGAACGTTATTCGAAAGCTATATTTTATTTATATCACAAAAAATGTACGACTCACGAGGCGGCAGGCTGCGAACGACGTTAAACGTCGGAATTCTGTGACGAGTTATTATTTATTTTTTTCATAAATTCCACTGAACGGAAAATTCAAAATTCCCGTTTGGTTTTCGAGATATCGTATAAATTGTTAATAATTATTAAGGGACGTGTGGAAATCGGTTTTTTTTTTATTCAAATACAAATCGATGAGACTTTTCTCTTATATTATTATAATATAGTCGCAGATCGGTTCAATCGAACGTGTGCAAAAATGAACCTTTTTGTTTTAAAAAATGTTTCGTAGATTGCGATTGGTTATACATAATTTATTTGCCAGCTATAGGACCTGTACCAGATATAAAACGATACTCGTTGAATCATATAATAATTAGTGGAGGTATATCGTATTATTCAAAGGTGGATGATTTAATCCCGTTCATCGTAAAAACTAATTTCGAGTTAAGTCGCCTTCAACATCGTTAACTTAGTAAAATAAATTAATATAAACGCATAATGCCTATAAATAGTGTTTATGCAATTTTAAAATTTTGTATGCAATTTATTAAAAAATGCTTTCTACAATATATGAATTAATTTTTTTCACACTATTTCATTGGGATGTAGTTTTATGTTACAGCATATTATGTATATGTATCGACTCAATAACAATTGAGAAATTTATTTTATTTGTTGGTTTTTATTTTAAAAAAATGCAGTGTACATCATAATACACTGGTTAAAAAAAAAAAATAAAACAATTAAATATGGTTTTATGTTTTTAACCCGACTTGTTATTTTCAAATTAATCGGAAAACACTGAAGTCATGTACAACGACTACATTATGATCTGTAAATTCATTGAGTATAAAAAACGATTGACTCTTGACTGGGCTTTTATGAGTTTTTAACGAAGCTTCAATTTCGATGCGGAATCCACCGCCGCACCTTTTCGACTGTTACACCGGTACGTCCCGTTACATATAGGCAGTTGGGCGCTTGTGAATTGCGCCCACATTGAGCAGATAATAAAAATACTATAGTAAATTGTGCCAGGGATTTTTCGGTTTCTAAAATAGGTATAGTAAATTCCGCCCAGGATTTTTCGGGGTCTAAAATGGGTATAGTAAATTGCGACCATAGTAAAATGTTTGGGATTATATTAACTATGAATAATTTTTTCGACTTGGACAACTTTATTGCTATACTTTAAATACCTATATTTTATTTGCTGATTTTCCTCAGAATATTTAGACATCAGCTTCCGCAACATTATCACTGACAACTATTAAAAGCTTTTATACATCTTATCCTCATATTTATAATTTTGCTGGTAAAATATTTAAGTTACAATCTGAAATTATACTAAAAATTAATAGTAAAAATGAACCTTTTGTATTTCAAAACACCAAATCAAAAAAAAAAAAAAAATTGAAAAAATGGAAAATTTTTTTAACAATCTATTGAAAACACTATTACGAGGGTTGAATTTGTGAAGATGATGTCTCATTCTAGGGCTCGGATTTAAATGCATTTGCATCTTTTTTTGGGGATATCTTACGCGATGCTTTCCAAGCTACAAATATGTTTCAAGTACTTCGCAATCTAACCACAATAATTTTTTGGGGCATTTTTTTGCTTTTTTGCATTTTTAGCGGATTTCAACATGTTTAGGGCATTTTTTGACGGGTTTAATGCATTTTTTAATTTTTTAGCACATTTTTGACCTATTTATCGTATTATGACTAAAAAATTGACATCATTGAAATATAAGTACTACATAGTAATATAGTACTACGTAATAAAAATTATTTTCATTTTGAACTATTTTAACTAATTTAACATCAGGTTTTCCGGTTTTTACAACCTTTATGTCACACCATCCTATTAGCCGATATTATTGCACACAACTAAACTTTTATCGGATTATTTTCTTGTCGAGCGATAATATTATATCGGTGGTGTGCGTTTAATAAATAATGCATTTTTTGAAACGCCATTTTTTGATATTTTTAGGGCATTTTTTAGAGTTTTTAGGTCAGAAATGCATTTTTTGAAAGGGCATTTTTTGATATTTTTAGGGCATTTAAATCCGAGCCCTACTCATTACTGTGCAGATAACTTATAACTGTATTTTTATTATTAACATTTTTAATCTAAAAAAAAATATATTAAACTATAATTATTAATACCATAATATTAAAAAAATTAAAAAATTAATATTTTTGTTCACTAACCAAGCAAACCAAAAAAAACATTTTTGGATTGTGATAGCCGCCTTATCGTGGTGTCCTTTAGGTAATGCCAAATAACTATCATAAATATAATATTTCTATTGGGTGAAATTTAATATAAAAAAACTTATACCGGATGCAATTTTACAATTTTTTTCTCTTCGTTGGGCGAAAATTACGTTTGCATAGGCAGATAGGTTCCTAGGTTTAATAATATTATTTAGGAACTTTTTTTTTTTTTATTTAATTTTTTTTTTTCTGAGTCGAAAACAATAGCGAACCGCGTGACGGCGTTCGGAACACATTAGCGTGAGATTAAAAGTTTCTCGATAAAAAAATTTAAAAAACAAAAAAAAACCGCCCACCAGTCGACTTTCGTTTTCCACGAACGAACTTTGGCAAACGCGCGACCTTACCCGTTCTTATTATATTATTGTTTCCCCGCTTACAGCCGGGCGCGGTCTCTAGACGTTTTTTTTTTTTAGCGTGCAACACCGCTAAAACCGAAGTCGTCGCGATGTCCGTGTCCGCTGTGTATTATACCGCAGCGGGCTATCGATTTTCTTCCCAGCATATCATTATGCGCATAATATGACATATATGTGTGTGTGTGCTGTGCGTATGGAATATAATAATATTATAATATCATATATGTACTACACGTATACTACCCTCTCGCTAGCCTCCCCAACCCTCCCGTTACGTGTGGATTTCTTGAAACGATATTAAGGATGGTGGTTGTAGGGTGGAACCGCGGTGCGGAAATCCGATTGGGAATCGCCAGATCGTGGTGCGGCGGCCCGCCCATGCAGAGTGACCTCTTTTCTCTTTTTTTCCGATCTCGATTGATATAACGGACCCGCACCACACAGCAGCAGCTAGAAGGTAAATAAAATGGAATTACCTGAAGGTACTACGTTTTCAGTGGTTATAACCGAATAAGTCTATTGCTCCCGGATCGCGTCTTACGAAAAAAAATATCAACCGCCTACCGATATAAAACGTCATTAATGACCTAAAATGTTAAAATATGCGATATTTATGATCGTTACTAATCTTTCGACTATACTATAGGTTTAATGTTTAACCATTATTATTTAAATATATTCCATAAACTTTTGAAAATAATTAACTATCGGTCGCCGTTAGCTATATTATTTGTATTATCATTATTATTATTATTACGCACTAGTAATAGGAATTTAGAGGTGACTGCTATACCTATTTACATATTACTCATACGTTATTTCGCCATTTTCTAATATTCAACATACCCTATAAAAGCTAATGTTTCGTTTGAATGATATTTAAAAACAAAAAAAATTAAATGATAATAATAAATGTTATTTTGTGGGCCATTGCCACGTATGACAGGAAACAATCAGAATAATTATATTTAGGTAGGTACCTGAAGTCTGAACTACCCGAGTTTTATCATGAATTCTGGCCGCAAACGTTCATCTCCGATCTGACGACCGACCGTCGTTCGATAAATAATATCGAAAATAAACTAACGGCATCTCGCCTCTTAAGTGTATCAAACAATCATTTAATGACTATTGACTTATGATACACACACACACACACACACACACACAC